AAGTGATTCATTTTAAGTTTAAAATTAATATTAGAACTGCCTGCCAGTCACTTTACCATCTCTAATCGGAAGGACTCGAGCAACAAACCGACTGAAAACAAATTTTATGCGACCACGCGCCATTTGATTTCCCTCAAAAAAAAAGGGAGAAGAACCAACAGTAAAGTGGAAACTCAAATGGAAAATACTTGAAGCAGTTGCATCGACCAGTTTATCAAAAAGATGCTCCCAAAAGATTCTGCCCCCTCGAGTTATGCATTTCCCTCTAATGAACTCCGCTGCCTTTCAGCGCTTTCTTCAGTTCTTCTTCAGTTCTTATAAATTTTCCTTTTCTTTCTTTTTTTTAGCAATAAAAATCGTAATGGAGCGGGGAACATAAAACAGAACGCCAGAATGGACGCAGACGATTCTTGGAATGGGTTAAGGTGGGTTTTATGCGCGTAATTAGCGGCAATTAGGGCGGAGTGGGCGTGCGGATATTCAATATTCGGTAAACAGAGCTTAACATGGACTTCAGGCCATTCATTAAAGTCTGACAGTAAATTACATTTTTTTCATGGTCTGTGTTTGCCTTTTTCTTGTTGTATCTGTTTTTTACGTTTTTTATACTTTTTATTCACACGCCTCGAATGGCATTTGCGAAATGCAAATTACGCTAAGCAAATTAGCGCGGAAGCGCCGAAGTGCAAGCCAAGAAAAAATAAGAGATATAGGAAAATGTGGAGTGAAATTCAAGCAAGGTGTGTGCCAGGGAAATGCAAGACAAATTAGCTGGGAAATAGAGGAGCCATTTACAATAATGCGCCATGTGCGAGGGTGCCAGAGCACAATGCCAAATGAGCTGCGAACTGAAGTGCAAATAAGGAAACTAAATACCCAAAGTGGGGATATTTATGGAAATTACTTGGTGTGACTCATTTGGCCAGGAAATAAAGTCCGTGAAACGGGTTTAAACTTACAGAAACCTAACTAAACCAAACTTAAACCATAAATACTTAAAAATTTACCCTCTAACTTAGTTATTTCTGTAAAACCCACCAAGAATAACCCCTAACAATGCACTTTTAAGACATGCCAGTGCTCTTGAGCTAACTTCTTGACACCTCCAAGTCGTTACAATTAAATGTGATATATAACCAGGGAGCAGGCTGTGCCGTTGCAGCCTCTGAAGGCCCAGTTAAGTTGTTAGAATGCACAATAAACTCATTCATAAGTCGGGCGTAAAGTCTCACAGCAATTTAGCCAAAGTCTTCACACCGCGACTGACTCGCCCACAAATCAAATTGCAATCCCCAAAGGGCCAAGGCAAGCTGAGCTGGGTTGGGTTATAGCTGAGATGGGTTATATTGATGCACTTGAAGAAAAGTATGGGAACTAGAACTTTAAGAAGTGATCTGTAATTAACAGCCTTTGAAATTAAAGGGATTTTAGGAAGACTTTTTGATTTTTCTTATCGTATAATGATGAGATTCCTCATATAAAGAATCTTAATGTAAATTCTCTTTTTTAAGATTAAATAGTATTTTTTAAATATTTTTTCAAACTTCAGGACTCTGAATTCTGAGAGTGTTTGAAGTGAAGGGAAAGGGAAACAGGAAACGCGATGAGCAGACCGACACCTGGCCTCTGCGCTCATGACAAACTGCCACTCCAGGCGTGGCTGGGAAAGCGTTGGGAAAGCGCGGCAGTATAAGCAAAAGGGGGCAACGGGCGGTGTTGGGCAATTGAAAAATGACGCTCGGCCAGCCGGTGGAAATGCATTCAGCAAATGAAGCCGCCCCAAAAGCAAGAGCACGTGAACCGAGCAAACAAGACACAAAAAGGCAGCATCGCCAGCTGTGGGAATTCAGACTGAATGCGACCGATATGTCAATATGCAGACTGCTGTTTGAATTTATATATTTTTTTCCTCTTTTTTTTTATTGTTTTATTAGCCATCCACTAATTGCAAAAATTTGTTTCGCATTTAGCCGGCGAGCCAACGGAGCCAAAGGCAAATAAAAAGGGCCATAGAGAGCGTGTGTTTGTGGTTTTGCTGCTTTATGGTCATTAATTATTTGAAAAAAAGTTATCAGCGATTTGGGTTCCCGGTTACCTGATGCTGATGATAAAATTATAAAGCATTTCGTGTTGACCCTCAGCTCGGCTGGGCACTAATTGAAAATGGCAACTGGGTTGTAGAAAAATACTCACTTTTTTTCCTGTGATATTTGTTTATTTTATTTGCCGTGGGTAAAGTTGCATTTGCTGCGATAAGCGGCAAAATCACAACTGATAAAAGAAATAAAAGTCAAACAACAGAATGTTATGTAAATAGTAATGAGATAGGGGAAGAGAGTGAGCTGATAGAGGAGATTCTCTTTAGTTTAAAATTGGGGAATTAGTGGTGGGTAATTAAATAAAATAAGTTGATTTTCCATTGTCAGCTTTGTTTAGTATAAGAAAACTAACTTTTGCTAAATAGCTGATCTATAATTTATTGACAAAGTGAAAAGCAGCTTTAAGTGACTTTTATTGTTCTCAAAAGTATTTATTTTAAATATTTACCTACAGTCCATACCCTATATGTATATTGATTATTATAACTAGGAAAATGCAAAGTCCACTCATATTGTCTACTTAATACTATATACCACTCAAATGAATCACGTTTACGGCTGTGTCATTTTGGCTTATCAAACATTCCTCTTTCCTTTTTTTTCTGTTGATAAGAAAAAAACACAGAAAATTACTCCAAAATGAGAATGTTGGGATAAAAATGGCAACCAGCTGAATTGCCAATGTTATCTGCGAAACCAAAAACAGAAACAGAATTCTTTCGGCCAAGAGTTATATCGAAGAAAACCGTTAACTAACAGCCGTTAGCTTTGATTTAATTAGCAGATTTTTGTTTGCCTGCTACCGTTTATCAAACTCAAACTCAAACTGAAACTCTTAAAAAGAAGCAAACACACGACTTTAGCATCTAACTGTGACCATGGCGATGGGGGATTTCAGATTTCTAGCTGTTTGACTTTTTCGTCTGCGTTTCTTTCACTGGCTCTTAAAGCAGGTTTTCCATTTGGCCTTTGGCTTAGGCCACACACTGAACTGCTGCTCGAGTGCCCAGCCAAAGCCGCACAAGTCGCTCTCTATATGTTTGGCTTTGTGTGTCAGTGTTTGAGGCATACAAATATGAATAAGCAGTACAGTGAAGGCTAGCGAAAGGGGAAGTTTCTCTGGGTTTAAGAACTGCAAGATTAAAAAGTTGAAAGTCTTACAAAACCAGTGATCTTTGTAGTGTATCTTTTTGTTAGCAAAGATAGCAATACTATTTACTTCACCTTATCGTATCTCTACTGTACAAAGGTAAAGTAAAACATCGTGCAAAGAGAAATATGCATGATGTTGTTGTTTTTTGTGATTATTCCTCTCTTTTTTGCGGCTGCTGCGTGTAAAATCAATAAATTCGAGCGGGTTCAGAGGTGACGACAACGTCGAAAATGCCTATGACCTTCAGGCCTCTGGCTGACCTTCGCCATGGCCCCCAACTTTGGCCCCATTCCCTTGCCATGTTACCATTTTCCAACTTGGCAATTAAATTTTTGTACGTAATTTTTTACACTCTTTTTTGTGCGTTTGCTGGCCGGCACTTCTTAATTATCGCTGTTAAGCTGGTTATGGTTTGTTTTTGCGGGCTTTATGCTTTGGCTTTTTGTTCGAAATTTATTCCCCTCAGCAGTGGCATTCATTAATTTCTTGCCTTATTTGCTGCCCTCGCTGCGGCTCTTTTCGGTTATTGATATTAATAAAAAAAAACTTTTCTTTCTCAGAGCCAGAGCCAGAAACACAGATCCGCCAGCGAACGCTGTTGCTCAACAAGTTACGTAAGAGGGGCCAAATAATGATGCGTTGGTGGGGATTTTCTGTGTGTGTTTCTTTGCTTTTAGCCCGGTTTCGAGAACAACAAAACAAAAGATTAAGCTTTGAGGGATTAGGATTACAGACCTTGTGTACCAGGCAAACAAATGGGGAAGTCTCTGTGCCAAAGCAGAGATAAGCGGGGGAATTATGGAATTTTAGTTTCTGAATTTTCAATGCCTGTGTTATCAGAGTTAAAGCTTGAAGAAACCTTAATGAAAAGTTTGGTGATTTGAAATTATATTTAGTAAATTAATTTAGAAAAATATCATAAGATTATTGTTCCTTTAATTCGAGAAGTTTGTCATTTAAATAATGCTTAATCTTTTTTCTTATTACATCTTCTTAAGTGATAACTTTATCTTAATTGCCTTTTAATTTTGCATTTTATATGTTTACCTACTAAACTTTAGGTTGACCAACTAACTTTGGTGGCTTTAATTGCACAGTTTGGCATTGACTACAAACCTGCAATTCAAAATGTTCGCTTGCCTTGAACTTTAACTCAATTGTCTTTGTGTGGGCAGCCTTGCATTTGTGTTTTGGTCTTTTCTAGGTCACCTTTTTTTAGGTTTTTTTCATATATTTTTAGGGGATTTACTTGCCATATTTGGGTAATGGCTAAAGACAAAAACATTTATAAACAAGTCTTAATGGTTAATAACTTTAGATCAATATGTTCAAGTCCGGTTGAGCTTAACTTGTTTAAATAGTAATCACTGATCAAGATCATTTATCTGTATTTCTTCCGCCTTGTAGCTTGTTAAGTACTATCATATGTAATTAAAAACTAGATAAAGTGCTTATTATTGTATATTTAACATTTTGATGTACTTTAATCCCATCAACATAGATTTATAATTAATAAATAAACCATCTTTTGGAGGTCTAGGAGCCTAATATCAAGTTTTGATAGGAGCTAATAGAAATTTACTCTTGATAATGCTAAGGAAACGGTTGAGGTCACGAAATACTCATTATTTAGGTGATGGTTCACCTTTATTTAAGATCTTCACTTTCTATCTTCAACCTCTTTTAATAGATATCCCTATGTACTTGCCAAAATCTATATCTTAAAAATGATTTATCTACCAACTTACCATCTTTAGCATTTGTTGCCGTTGTTGTTGTTGTTGTTGTGGTGGCCATAGCTTTAGTTTTTGACTTTGTTGTTGGTGTTGTGCAGACAGAGGCCGCTGCCGACGCCGACGTAGCTGCCTTGTAGAAAGCTGTTGTTGTTGTCGATGTGGAGGATGTTAGATTTGTTGTTTTTGTTGTTTCCACGGCGCCAGCAGCTGACAAGCTACGTGAACAGTACATTAGTCACCTGTTCTTTACAGGTGCAACAAGGGAGAGGGGGTGGCAAGTGGGTGGTTTGAATATATATATGTATGTTTATAACAGCTGATAAGGAGGAAAAAACGTGAAATTTTTAATAAATGTGAGTAAGGGGTGATTAACCAGGAAGTGCAGATAGTTAAAACAAAGACTAGGCTGGGAAATTGGGACAAATTGGGTGCCCTTTTGTTTAGTTTAAGACATTAAACTGTTATTTGTTGATTAATAAGAAGTATTTGTTAGTTTTGTTTAAATATATTTGTGTTCCTAAGTTCTTTCTTTGTTTTAAAATTTAAATGCTTTTTAATTTTTAATTTTGGGCACTCTTCTCCACGTTCTCCCTTTTGGCTCACTTTAATATGCAAAAACTTTCTTTTAAACAATTTTCTCTTAGATATTTTCTAGCACACTGGCAGCTGCCTTTTTTTTATAATTATTTTTATCAAATTTATTTTTGTTATTATTTTCGCTTGTTCTTTTTTGTTTTTATTTTATTTTTGTTGCATGTGCGTCGGTGTTTATGTATGGGTGTGTAGGTGTGTGTGTGAGTTGGTGTGTTTATATGAGCGTGTTGGTGCACTGTGTTTGTTGTTGTTGCTAGTGACGCGTACGCGTGTTCTCTCACTCGCACCTGAACGATTTCACTGGCCCGTTGTGTACGCGCACGTTTCTAGCAGCCGCTGCACATGTTTTCGTTAATTTTACGCGTTTATTTGTTTAGTTTCTTGTATAATTTCGCAATTGTTTTTTTACGGACTCGCGGAGCGAGCACGAATTTGGTCACACCACATCGCCAGTGTGGTCAGATGGGGGTTAGGATGAAAATACCTAGCGGTGCGGCGGAAAAAAATACCAAAACATATGGCTAGGATGGAAATACTGCTGGCGCTTAACAGCACGCGGGTAACAGTAAGCTGTTAAGTTTCTTTATTTTGAAATTTGAATTTAAAATGGCGCTTTGAATAGAAACTTTTATTCTTATTTGAAATTATATTTTGCTATCTTATCATATCAAATAAATTAGCGCACAAATATATATATATCACTTGTGATAGATGATAATCTGTTAGGCAACAGTTTATAAAAATTAACTTATCAGGCCACTCCATGACTGACCTAAAGGCCACTTGTCTGGCAACTCTATCATAATATTTAAACACTTTTAGTTAACGGCTATTTTTTGCTTATAAGTTTAAAATTAAGAAAAACTTGTTAATAAGCTGTAGTAAAGAGCATTTCCGCAGAACTTAACATTTGTCATATATTAAAGTTGTAGCTATGAAAGTTAACGGTACTCTTTTTAATATTATTATATTAAATTATTAATATTAACATATTAAAAAATATTTTACAAACCTAAAAATCATGAATTTTAAACTATAATAAAAAGACAATGCCTATTAAATTATAAAATAATTATTAAATGAATTCATTTTCATTAACTTAACAAATTGGTTTGAAATTTAGAAAAAAGTTCTAAAAATTTCGATTTTTCAAAGTAGGTTAACCGCCTTTTAAAATTATTTTCCTTACCTCTAAACTCTATTCCAAATACTAAAATATTTCAAAAATTTTCTTCCCCAAACGACCTCGGCTTACAATTTTCACACTTCTCCGCAATTGTCTTAGCCAAACCCCCAATTTTACTCGAAAATTTTGGCCAAAATCGATGACCTTGACAACAGAAAATATGACACAAATATTGCGGCGTTAAAAAACAGCAATAAAAAAAGGGCAACAACAAGCGGCTTAGTTTGATAAGTGAGGTAATTTCGTATGACGGAGATCGCCTCACATCTCCCACTCGCTCCCAGCTCTTGCTGTTGCTGTTGTTGTTGTTGTTGTTTTTGTCACCCACTTTGCCTGGGCGTTTTATTTATTTTTGATTTTTTAGTATTCCGCACGATTGTTGAGTGAAAGTTGCCACCGTTTAGAGTAATGTTTTTTTGTTGCTAGTGCCACGCCCAGGCCACGGCGCCTTATCGCCGCCACCTGTCGCTGGATGTGAGCGAGGTGTTAATTCGACAGGCAATTGTGTAAAAAAAAGAGTTCGCCTAACAATTGCATAATATGAAAAAAGCTGAAACCGAAACTCGAGCAAATTTGGGGCCAAGATAAAACAAAAAACAAAAAACAAAAAACAAAAAAAGAAAGAAAGAAAAAACAATTAACCAAGTCCAAGAAAAGCCATAAAAATCGACAGAACCGAAATGAGTTTTGGGGGAAAACGTGTTCGAAATCAATTTGGCGCTGCAGAATTAAAAGCCACAGTCTGGGGGTCATAAAAGAACATAAAAAGATCGCTTACGCAGATCCCAGAGAGCCAAGTCAATGTCCTTAGCCAAAGCCAATTCGATCTTTGATTTCTTTTGATGCCCTAAAAAGGGCTTAATCAGATGGGCAGGCCATCAGTTTATAAAGTTAAAGTTAAGTTTAAAGGAAAAGATGGCTAAAATTATACATTCTGTAGCTCTTATAGTTACTTAGAAAGACTTTTCTTGATTTAAGATTGTTAATATTTCCTTTAAGTTCCTTCTATAGAGCATCCCAGCCTTGTCTTCCTCAATCTCTCCTTCCTTACCTCACATGTTCTGCTTTTTTATTAACATCTTTGCTTGGTGCCTCGTATAAAGTCTTAGCCCTTTGCAGGTTTGGCCTGTTTGCAGAGCTCTTGCTGGCCAAAAGGGCCCAAGAACAAGTTCTGCTGGACCAGATCGATCGATCACCATATGAAAGTGCCCGCCTGAGCAGGAGATAAGTTTTCCTTCTATTCACAGCGGCGTTTCTCAACCTCTCTCCCTACCTTAGTTTGACCCATTTAACTACATTTAAATGGACTCATTTGCATAGAACACATTTGGACTTTTGTTTGGCCGCATTTGTGGGCGTTTTGGTTCGGTTTTTCTGTGCATTTCTAATGAATTATTAACCCAGAACCAAAGGGGGAAAACGCATCCCAGAGATGCATCTTCCCTGCAGACCACTGACTGCCGGACCAAAGCTAATTGACTCTAAAAATAGCCGGAGCAGGTTTCTCTGTCCAGTCTGGGTCTGCATCTTCAGTCTGAGTCGCGGAGTCTGGGGAACGGGTTTCCATCGAAGACCAAAGACTTTAAGATCCACCATCATCCAGCCCAAATGGGTTTCTTTTGGTAGGAGAGCGTTTAACCAAACAAGAAAACGAGAAAAATCTGCTGATCAAATGTCGTTGTCTGCCATCGAGTCAACAAGGAATGAGAGTGAAAAAAGGTGGAAAAGTGCCTGAAAAGGGGGAGGGTATATATAGTTATATACTCAAGTCGATGATCAGGGACAAAGTGTACTTAGGACCTAATCGCCAATCTCTGTACAGTTGGGCAATCTAAGTGGTTTCTGGAAGTAAGTTTTGGGTTTTTCCTGGTTTCTTAAATCCTGGAAAATATCTTACATAGGTTTATTATCGAAGATAAAGATGGCCAGAAAATATATAAATATTTGTTTAGGATTTAGAAACCTTTCTTAGTTAGAAAATCTTAAGCAGAAAATGTTGGGAAGAATGTAAACACCTTTTCAGCCATTTTAAGGAAGTTAATAGAAAGTTGAAAACTTCTTTTTTATTTTCACAAACTAAATTTAAATCATTTTGAAACTCCACTGATTGCATTTCCAACCCAAGAAAACCAAATACTGATACTCGATAAGACTACAAACATGATTGATGTGGTTCCTCCTGCTTTTAACCCTCTTTTTTATAGCCCCAACCACTTGGCCAATTACAAGTGCAGCTTGTTGTGAAGCCTCTTGGCCCAAACCCTTTCCAGTGTGTGCAAACCAAGTCCAAGTTGGTCCAGTTCAATGACATTCAGTTCAAGAATTGGCCAAGAAGATGGTAGTTGATACTACCACTTTTCTCCATCTCTCATTGGCTCTGTTGGCTTGTTTGTCTGCCAACAAAGTCAACGGCGACTGCGCAGCCGGCGGTTTGTATAAAATGCGTTGGGCCTAAAGAAATTTCAAACAGTTGCGGCCGTGAGGCGCTAGTGAACGCATCTTGAAATCGAAAATATATATATATATATAGAGAAAATAGTTTTTGAATCGGGAAAATGAAGGCTGCTGCGTTGATCCTGGTTTTCCTGGCTGTAAGCCAAGGTAGAGTGCTGAATTTGCCCAAGGAGGCGGTTGATATTCCTGTGACCATTGTCGAGGATAAGCAGCCACCAGTGGCCCTGTCTTTGGTTAAGGAGGAGCCCAAGCTGGAGGAGATCAAACCTATTGTCCAGGAAGAGAAAGCCAAGGAGCTGAAGGAGGAACTTAAGCCAGAAATTAAGGAGGAGATTCTGCCTGAAGTTCCAAAAGAGATTAAGCCAGAAATCAAGGAAGAAATTAAGCCAGAAATTAAAGAAGACTTAAAGCTGAAAGAGCAGCGGCTTAAGGAACAGATTGAAGAACAGATTAAGAAGCAGATCAACCAGAAGCTCAAGGAGAAGCCCTCGGAGCTCAAGGAGAAATCTCTGGAAGCCAAAGAGCAACCTCAGGAAATCAAAGAAGAAATCAAACAGGAAACTCCAGAGATCAAAGAGGACACTAAGCCCCTAGAGGAACCTGCCCAAAACATCTTAAAAACTCTGCCTGCTGAAGAGACTGTGGCTGTGCCTGCCGAGGAACCCTCTCCCTTGGAGCAAGAGCAATCCGAAACTCAAGATGCTGCCCATCCACAGGTCCGTCAAGCCACCCAGGCCACTCCCACCCAGCAGAGTACCACCCAGGGCAACTTTGTGCAGCAACTCATCCAGAATTCCCCCATTGGTCAGTTCCTGAATCAGTTCCAGCCTCAACCAGCTGCTGCTGCTCCTGCTCCAGCTCAGGCCCAAGCGGATGATGCAGCTGCTGCTGCTGCTCCTGCCACTCCTGCTCCCACCGTTCCTGGCTTCCTGAATCCTCAGGCTGCCATTACCTCCGCTCAGCAGGCTGTCCAGAATGCCGCCCAGACTGCCGTCAATGCCACCACTCAGGCCTTCCAGGGTATCCAGCAGTTCGCCAGCAATTTGGGTAATCAGTTCCAGAACACCTTGTCCAGCTTGACTGGCCAGCAGCAGGCAGTGTCCACCACTCCACGGCCACCAGGTCCCATTCAGCAGTTCGTGAACAATGTCTTTGGAGGAAACAACAATGCCTCAGCCGCTGCTCCTGCCCAGCAAAGCACCAATCCTCTCCAGGGAATCATCAACTTCCTGGGTGGTAATCGTCCACAGAATGCCCCAGCTGCCGCTGCACCAACTCAGGCCCCGGAAAAGCCCGCCGTAGATGATAAGATCGAGCCTGCCAAGGATGAGGTGGCTGAGTTTGTCCCGGAATCCGAGAACGAAGTGCGTCATAGTGGCGAAGCTATCGACGATTCCTTCGAAGAGGCTGGCGTTCCTTCCAACGAGGTTATTGTGGTCAACGATGATGCCGGCGAGGGCGGAGAAGTCGTGGATCCTGTCCAGCCAGTGGCCACCGATGCTGTGGCTCTTTAAGGGATTTTGACTGTATAGTTAACCCTAAGCCAACCGACTGATGCCATTTTCGCAGAGATTTTTCGATTTATTTTGAGAATGAAAAAGGAAAATGCTTCTTTAGTTTTCTAAGTGCATGCACCGCAACAAATTATTTATTTCATACTCAGCCCAGGAATTTATCTATAATAAAATGAGAGAAAACCGATCATTAAATAAAATAAATAACTTAAGGAAATTAGTTTATTAATGGGAGAAGGGTTTTGAGATGATAAGAAACTCCCCTAAAAAGAAAACAGTTTTTGAATTTATTCAAAAATTATCTCATATTTATTTGAATTATTTCCATTTTCTTGATTTATTATTTTGATGTTGTTTTAGTTTTGTTTTGTTTTTTGTTTCACATTAAGGTGGTTCAATAGCTCAAAAATGGTTACACGATGTAACTTACATCAACCGAGACGAGAGACGCGCAGTAAATGTACATTCATATAAGGCTAAGTATCTGAAAAGTTCCGAACTTAGGCGAGAGAACGAAGGCTTCCAATTTAAACTAGATGTCGCAGCTGGAGTTGAACTTATGCCCAAAAATATTTAAGCTAGTTTTTCTTTTCTTTTTTTGTTTTATATATATATATTTCGATTTTTTTTGCTGAAATTGCATTTCAATTTTTCACGTTTTAGTTATTCTTTAGCTAAGGTTTCTTTGGGGGTTTTCTTTTAATTAGGCTTGCCTTAAGTAAGTTTGTGAGTTCTTGAGCTGGAGAATGGTTCTACTTAAAGTTAGTTTCTTGGGGTTTTTTTGAGTGGGAAGAAGGAGGGGGCAGTGAAGGGGACTTGGGGCAGTGTTCTATTGTTTCTGTGAGATTTTTGATATATATATTCGTAATGCTTGGAAAACTTGATCGTTGAGCAGTGAGTTACAGGTGAGGGAGCAAGACAGAGAGAGAGAGATAGATATTGAGAGATGGTGATTCTAAGAAATGATTTAGTTACTTAGCCAAGTTAAGTCTTTTTCGAGATTGGTACATGAACTTAATAAGAGTTTTCTTTTGATTTGTTCGATAGTGTCGTAGGTTAAAGTGCATAACAGGCAGAGGATATGGACCCCTCGATAAGCAATTATAGTTTCGGGGGCTTTCCCTTCCCTAGAGAGAGAGAGAGTTGAATTTATGCTAATTAAACGTTTATATAAGTAGGCCAAACATAACAGTGTCTTAAAGCGTTTCCATTTTAGCATTTCGCTCAGTGTATACATGGTAAAGTAATCGAGATATAGAGTTATAGATATAGATAGCAGCCGTTTATGCGTGTAAATATCGAGTAAATATCGAGGCATTCAATATATAATTTTGATTGATGTGGGGAGTACATAGAAAAGTATCTGGATTGGTTCTTCTGAAGCCGTTCTTGTGTTCTTGTGGGTCGGGTATACACGTATGAGGTGAATATATATATATATATATATGATAATGTATATATCGATGTAAATATATGTGTGTGTGGGTATTACAATCATATGTCTGTTCAGATACGTTTATAATGCAAGTGGTGTTAGTGTTAGTGTTAATGTTAGTGTTTATGTTAGTGTCTGTTTCTGATTCTGTTTCTGAATGTAAGTGTATATATGGCATGGCTAATATATCTTTGATTTAGCAGTTTAGCAGAGGATTACAGTTCTCTATATGAAGGTCATCTAATGGGCAGGAATGAGTACAGTTTGTTTTTCCGGCAAAAAGGTACAATACTTGTATATATCTTCGATCGGGTTCGGGTCTTTGCTATATAGCGCTAAGCTTTTGCGGCTGGACAAAATGCTCAAAATAGAAAATCAAAAACAAAATCAAAGATCAGAAAGTTCTCCCCTGGTTTTTGGTTTTGGTTTTTCCGGTTTCCTTCTTTTTTTTTTTGGTCGCATTTTATAAAAATAAAAATTCGTTTTCGTTTCTCACACTACCAAAAAATATTGCACAATCGGAATCTAGAAAATATAACGCGCTTATCAAATATCAATCGTACATAGCATAATTATCTGTATATCCCTATAAATATAATTTATATATATATATATATATATACTTCCAGTGTAGCCTAGGTTCTTGCTGGGGTAAAGTTTTCGAATTCTTGTGGGTTATATTAACATGCAGACATCAAAAAAGTTACGCGATTTTAGTTTGTATATAAGTTTCCGTTATATCGTAAGGAGTAACCATATCATATGTCTTAGATTTGCTTTTGGTTTTTAGCTGCGATTGCTGAGGGCTTAGATTAATGGCGTTGGCTTAAGGGAAAGTGGGAAATACAGAGCTTTAAGGAAGACGCTTTGAGAAAGTAAGGAAATCTGAGCTAGGAAGACTTGTAAGGGGAAAGAAAAATGTAGATTTTTACCATAAGATATTACATCAGAATCTTTGATTTATATTGAAAAAAGCATTAACAGGACATAAAATCATATTAGAACTAATCCAAACCAACGCCTTAGATCCCTTTACACCCCCTGACTAGCCAGATTATCGACTTAGTGATAGCTCCAAAGCAACTTTAGCTAGCTTAGATCGTAGATTCTTGTGTAAGTATTACATTTATCGTACATATGTATAGTATCATTGCTATTAGCATGTGTGTGTGTGTGTGTGGTTGTTGCTTGAGAGCCCCTCACCCAACTTAAGCATTGCTATATCGTATCTATATCGTATCTATATAGACAGAAGAATATGAACTAAAGGTAGCAAAACTAGACTAGAATACAGTTTGGTTTCTGCTTTGGATGTGTGGAACTCCTCCGAACTCCTTGACCCCGTTTGCTTATAAATTCGTTTCAGTTCTGTGGGGTGGCAGGATGTTGGATGACTGGGTCGCAGTGGTGGTGGCTGTGGCTGTGACTGTGGCCTTGGTGGCCACAGCTCCGCCCGGAGTGGCCATCCTCACCCGCTCACCCACTCCAGGACCCAAAATCCTGCGCTGCAGCATTCGTGCTGCACCAGATCCTTGGACTACCAAGCCAGGATTAGCTCCTTTACCACTAGATCCTCCACCATTCATGGACCATTCGTTTTGCTTGAGCAGAAACTGCTTCACATTGTACTCCATCTGAGCTATGTCCACGTTCTGGGTGGTCGTGTGCAGCTCCGCCTGAACGGATCGCGTCTTGTCCGTATCATTCGGATAGTATTTGTAGTTTAGTATATCACACGTGGGCTGTTCGGGGCAGATGAGAGCCTCGGAACCGGAGGATGTGGATTCTCCTGGTGGACTTGAATCATCTTGGCCACCTGAAATGGTCGTATATGCCACTGGCAAGCCCGATCTGGTGGTTCTTCTATAGTACGTGGTGCACATTTCCATTTTCTTGGGTGGCACAGCACTTCCCGATGGATTTTCAGGCATGGAATTGCTTGTGATATCCGTCTTGGGCGACAGGGAATCCTCTGTGGACTTCTCCGGATAGCCATTGGTTAGTTGTTGGGGTGTAGTTTTATAGCCCGAATCCATGGACAGTTTCTCTATGGATATGGAGTCCATACGATCTAGCGTGGAGTACGAGGATTGCCTCTCTGTTCCCGAATTCGAGTCACTGGTCGGCGGAGCTTGCTGCAGACTCCTCTGCTCCAACTGCTGGGTATTGTGCTGAACCCATTCCGCCACTCTGCTGAGCTGTTGTCGCCTCAGAAGGACACTTTCCTGGTAGTCAATGGCATCGCTGATGGAACTGGAGTTAGCGGAGTGTTTGGGGGAATTCACACCCGGATTTGTGGTTGATACTCCGGGCTTGATTTCAGCTTGTTCTACTTCTGGGATTTCGACTTGTGGTTCTAGAACAGGTTGAAGGGCAACATTCTCGTGAGGAGCTGCAGGTCCTTGCCAGGCTTCTACTGCCGATTGAGCATTGCTCTCCTTGCTGGTAATGATGTCCTTGCCGTCGTTGAGCTCCTCATCCAGTAGCTTCTCCCTTCGCTTGTAGATCACTGGCGTGTAGGTTTCTATGGACTCCAGGTTGTCCAGCAGGATGTTGCTTTGGCCATTCTGTTGGATTCGCATGGCGCACAGACGCGGTCCTCGGTATTTGGGATTCTCCGCCTGGAAGATGTTGAATTTTTTAGTAATTTTATAATATTTATTAATAAGTTCAAACCTTAATCGTCTTGATGAGATTCCTGTTGAAGGTCTCGAACATTTTGGCCCCCTCGCAACTGCTGGTCTTGTTGCTCCACAGACTCTGGACACTTCCCGAGTTGGTGGACTTTAGTTGAGTTCCTGATGGAGCAGCAGCAGATGTATTTCCTGGTGGAGCAGCTGGGGCAACTGGCTTAGTGGGCAGTGGTTCACAGACATCCTCCAGTTTGACAGGAGCCACTGTTAGCTGTGGAGGAGCCTGTTCCGCTTCCAAAAGACTGGGCTGAGAAACACCTGACAGCAGAGGCTTACTCGACTCATCCTCCAGTTCATCCTGGACCACGCCAACGGCACCAGCTTCGTATTTGTTCAAGAGCTGCAAGGCAGTTCCTCCGCCATCCAGAAACCGCCTTTGATAGCCGTTCCTTAGCTGACCCAGATTACTCGTCTCCAGGAGATACTTTTCCGCAGCATAGGCCCCCAGATGTGTAGTTGGATACATCATCGTCGAAGTAGTCAGCTTACCGTTGCCAAACTCCGCATTCTGACCGGGCAAAGAGGTTCTGTCACAGAGCCGATGGTGTCCCAATATCGGATTCACCATCAGATCATCCTTTTTGGCCGGCGTGAACAACTTGTCCATGTCGTTGAGATCCGAAACGGAGCTCTTGGTCTCTGAGATAACAGAATCACTTGACTTGACCATCTTCATCAGATATGGACTGTTAGTTCTTGAAGGGGAATTGAGATTACTATGACATCTGAGACAAAGTTGGGTCAGTGGCTCGTTCAAGCCCGATCCTTGGAGCTGCAATTGATGAGGCGTCTGGGTGGCCACCGAATAGGAACGCGATACATCTGCCAGGACCTGGAGATCCTGTTTGCTACACTGACACGTATCGCAGTGCTTAACCTCATTGGCCTTCAGTTCGGCCTCCAGAAATTTTGCCATTATTGTGGGCGATATCATATCGGGATTAGCTGCTTGATTCGCATTATTATTATTGCTAATATTTGTGTTGGTTTGATTGTTGCATTTGCCATTGCTGTTGGTGGTGTTGTTGTTGTTATTTGTGTTGTTGTTGTTGATAGTGTCCTTGGTGTTGTTGCTGATATTGTTGTTGTTGGCTTGATTCGATTGCTGCTGAGGATTAGTGGCCGAATTCCCGTTGGCGGCATCTGTATTTTGAGGGAAATTTGAGTATTAGTTGGGGTTTTTTAGTGTTATCTTTTGGTATTTTTGTTTGGTATTTTTTCGTAGCTTTAGGGAACTTTTTAATACATTTTTTTAAAGGTTATTAAAGATATGGATTATAGGAAAGGAGGGTTAGTAAATCATAAAACTAAAAATATTTTAAAAATTAAATATTTTTAAATAAATTAGTAAATTAAAAACGAGCTTAAACGCTAAACATTTTCATACATTTTTGTGGATTTTAAAAATTCAAATTAAAATCAATACCCTAAGATACTAATTTGCAGCAACTTTTTGTTAATAATTTATAAATTTTTGCTTTCAATTTATGATTAAAATGTAATAAGTTTATTTTAAAGTAAATCTCTTGAATTTTTACCTTTCCTTTTTCACAACAAATACAACTTTTTCCACAAGAAATTTACATCCCCCTATTAATAGGTCAAACTAGTTTCCTTCTACTAAAACAAAGCCTTTGTCAAACTAAACACTCTACCAACAGAAGCGTTCTGTGGCTTGAACCAAAAAATATGCCTCATCAAATATGCATAAATTAAAACTAACAGAAATTGCCCAAATTGATCAACAAAAAGTTTTTAGCCACAATCATGCCTCTGCAGCATGTTGGCCAACAATATGTTTACAGGACAAAAATGTAAATATTTCCGAGAACGAATCGAAAAAAATGCTACCAAGAGTTATTTTTGCCGCAGTTTGAAATTGCAATTATGGCAAAAATAAAACTGCAAACAATAAATTGCAACAAAAAACTGAAATAATAAATACAAATTAAATTGAAATGCAGGCAATTAAGGCAAATGAACAGCAACCAAAGAGGAGTGAAAGCCAATACAGCGCACAATGATGTGGAATTCATGCAATTACGAGGCAGAAATCAAATTGTAAACTTTTCGCAGTCCTTCGAATAAAAATGCCAATCAAATAAATAAAATCGGAAAGGATAGTAAGGCTGTGTAAGTAATAAATATTTTGTAAATTTAATATAATAATTAAGCGACAATTTTAATAGAAAAGAAAAGAAAGTAAAATTCATTAAAATAACTCTTAGAAGTACTTTTTGTTTTCCTCTCAGAAAGCCTAACCTTTTCTTTATATAAATTGGCATAAAATAATATTTAAGAAATATTTAAAAAATCCCCCTTTAACCCCAAACACTGTTTCTTAAATTAAATCAAGATTTGCAATATTAAATTGTGAACTTATCGGCGTCTTCGTGACTCAATCCGGTTCCTAGAAAACGTAAATCAATAAATCAAAATGAACGAAATCAGACGGAAATGGGAAAAAATCATAGGGATCAACATGGTCTACTAACACCTACCGATTCCCCTCATCGAATACACCATGGCCGTGGGCGGGAAGGGGCAGGCCGAGGGTGGCGGCGAATCGGAGGCCGGAAGCACTTTATAGGAAGCTGTGGTGGCCACGCCCACTCCGCTATTGCTGCACTCGGAATCGGAATGGGAGTTCGTCTCCAATCTCATGTACGCCGACACCTTCGATTGAATATCAATGGGTAGCTGCATAGAAAAGCATTCATTTAGAAGGGGGATGTGTTATGGGATGAGGTTTTTCAGTTGCAATTTTCCACTCTGGATATACCCACCGATGACACTTTTTGGGACACAAAACTATCCGGCTTGCACTGCAGCAATTGGATGGCCAGGCTAATGTCGGCCTTGTAGCGTTCCTGTGCAGGAAGAAAAGAGAGCAGAGAGAGAGGACACAGATAAGAAGGTGTCACGGAAGTGCCATAAAAGAGCAGGATTACACTGGTAGAAAGTTAGTATCTAGTCTTAAAGTTAGTTATGATAGATCTAACAAAAGAATACGTTATTATAATAATCATCCTATTAATCAGAATCTAACATCTGGAATTCATTTCTTTTAAATTTTCCGCCAAGAACTCCATAAAATTCTCTCAGTGTCTTCGTTTTTATGCGGTTGGTTGGCAGTGTGTTTGCATGGGTTAGTTTGTATGTGTAGCTTCTTGCTTCTTTTGACACTTTTCGTATGCAAATGTCAAATATGTTTGCTGTTCGTTTTGTTTCACTCGACTCCTGCCACTGCGAAAGTTCACAACCCGCAGCCCACAGCCCCTTGCCCCAAAAACCCTTTTACACATTGTTAGGAAAACTTTTTTCCAAGGGGTATTTCTGCGAGCCAAGGGGTGTAATGGGTTAGAAAAGGATTTTTTAGGTCCAGATAGGTTATGATATGGAAACTTAAGAAGACTATGTAATATTAATTCTCCATAATTGCTACCTTTTTTTTAGTTTTCCTTTTTTATATTGACCTTTTTAAAAATATATTATTAACAGCATCCTCGAAATCATAAAACTATATTGGCCTAACACCCTTTTAACTTTATTAAGCCTCCTTGAAAAATATACAATATTCCAGGATACTTTGTAACCGATATCCTTAACCCTCTAAGGACAGCCTTCTTAGTTCGCTTCGCTGTTGCTTTTGTGCATTTTGGTGTCAGCGGCAGAGCCTCAAAAAGTTTCGCTCCTGTTTTGCTTTTGTGTGTGTGCATTTTTTCCTCTTTTTATTTTTGTGGCCTAACACACACACAGAACACATTCAGGAGGAACTTTTAGATGCCTTTTTAAATTTTCACAAATGCGATGCACTCGAACTTGTTAAACAAGCAACAACAGCAAAGAAAAACAGGGGAAACTGAGGGGCGGAAAAGCTACAACTGCATTGGTGACCCAAATACAACAACACGACAACAGTAACAACAATAGCAGCAACAACAACAACAACAGCTTCGGGGGAAAATGGAAAATGCAGGATGGCAGTAACGGCATTTTGCACCACGTTTACCAACACTTACACGGCCCGGCGCCCAACCATTTTTCCAGCTCCGTTTCGGTTCGTTTTCTCACGCTGCATTTTCACACTACAGCGGGAAAAACCAAAAGCACAGGGAAAATTACATGGCAAAAAAATCGGTTGTCTATAAAATATTAATAAATAAGTATCTCAGTACGGATACCTTTAATATATCATGATTTTTGAACACTAAATAATGATATTTCCGGCTTCAAAATATTATAGCATACTTTTTAGCTTCCCTTTTAAAACCATCTCAAACCCAATTTTCCCTCAGTGCAAAGAAAACAAGGAAAATCGGCGGGGAAAAATAGGAAATTACGAGTGAGAGAGCCTTGCAAGGAACTGCGAAATGACGCCGCTTGCATTTTATGTTCATTTTCCCTTATTTTTCTTTTGCACGTCTTCCTTGGCATTTTTATTATTTTGTGTGCTCTCCGGGCACTGCGCTGCTAGCAATTTTATAAATAGAAAAATGCATAAAAATTGCATGAAATAGGAATGAAATAAATTCCAACTGGGAACCGGAGGCGTTCACTAGGGACATTGGGGGGCGTGGCAAATGGCAAGTGGCCCGATGGCAAGTGGTAGTGGAAGTGGCAGCTAAATAAGCGGATGCATTGATTGAACTCGAAAATGTTGATTGTCAGTATGAGCAAAGCGTGAAAGTAATTTCTTTAAGCAGGGCATTATTGTGTTGGGAAATGGAATTCCACTTTCAATCCGAATTGATTGATGGATTACAACCACAGCTTATATCCTTGTGCTCGATTGTTGTTTCTTATTATGATTTTTAGATTATTTTCTGTGATAACTTTGGCTTGGGAAATGTTGGAATGTAAGAAGTTTTTGATCCTCTTTGCAGTTTTTGATTTGAAATTGCCTTGTTAGTGGCATAGATTTATTGTACAGGAAAGGCATTCAAAGAGAAAGTAGTTTATAAAGAAGTCTAAAAGTCAGCTACATTATGGTTAAGGATTTTTTCGGTAATTGGAAGTCTTTCATATATAAAATTGTAAAACGATAAAAACTTGTCTTTAACTCCCCTCGATCGTATTTCTTTGATCCCTTAACTGTTTCGCCAACTTGATTGACCTATTTCTTTTGCTGGTGATGCTCGTCTCTCCAATCCATTTTAGTGGCCCCAACTGCAGCCATAAACAAGCCCACCCGGAAAACCCCTTTTTCATTCCATCAACTGCCATTGGCAGCCCTTCAAAATCCATTTGCCCAACTGGCCTCGGCACGTTCGTTGCACGGCAAATGCAAAATAAATTCCCAACTTTACACTCTTTAATGAAGTGCCCCAGGCTCTGAGCACTGAGCACTGTGTATTCCAAGGACTCCAAGGATCCGGGCGTTAAATTTAAAACGTGCCACGACTGGCCATCGATTCGAATCGGTTTTAATTAAAAGCCCGGCTCCCTGCTCCACATATTTAGCATTGCGTGATTGCAGCACAAAGTGCATGTCGGGGAAGTAATAAAGATAATTGAATCATTAGCGTGTGTAAGCTAATTGTATGCATTTAATTAGCAGTCCATAAAAATGTTCCCTTTCCCAAACGAACTTCATCTAAGCCTCGCCATGTTTGCTGGCATTGAATCCAAATCAAACATCATCAAAGCGGGATTAATTACGTGGGAGGTGAGGAGTGGGAAAAGGTTTTTCGTGGTGAATAAAAAGGGACCTGTAGGTACACTGAAATGTCAATAAAGGATTAATCTGAGTATTTTGTGGTGTTTAGTTTTTAAGCTCACTGTAGTAACAAAGTTGAAACCACCTTTTCACAGATTTCACTACATTTAAAAACGAAATCTGCATAATTTAAGCATTTTTTTTTAATATTCCTTATGCGTGTAGTAACAACCCCTTCTATATAATTTATTCACCCGACAGATTCCCCTACAATATTGTATGCGACATAAAATTCATTGCATACTTTGCGGCTGCAGGCGCGCGGAAAACCTGCAATAAAAAGCAGGAAAAGTGCGGAAAAACGAGAGTGGAATGCTCCACAGCAAAGGAAAAAGCATTTGCAAACTCGTAGGCCGCAAGTCTGATTGCCTTTTGTCCCTCTGTTTGTGCGGCTTACAACCAGTTTTCCCTGCCTGCTTTTCTTTTTTTGTTTTTTATTTTTGTCGTAGGTTCCCTTTTCCGGTGGCTTAGAGTCCGTCACGGCTTTTGTGCAATTTCACGCTTGTTTGCTGACCAACAGCTGACCGCAAGCCAAAACCAGAGCTTCTAGGAGGTACGGAAAATGGGATGGTGGAAGCGTGGAAATTCCGTGGAGGTGACATGCATGTATGTTTGCCATTTGCGGTGGCTTTTGATTCGGCAATAAAACTCGCTGACAGGCGCGACATCATGGGTGCAAGTTTATGAATGGCAAGCGAAATTGTCAAATAGCTGGGAGGTGCCGGGCTTTATAATGAATAATAAATGGCGTTATGGTCCAGGAAAAACAATCAAATTGGGCCGCAGCAAATTATACATTAGCTGTGAATTTTCGGGACGGGGCAATTAGTAAAATCAAATAATGGCCAGCATGCGAAAAACCTTGCATTTTGGAGCGGGGTCATAAACTATTAAAGTGTTTATGGCCAACGCTTAAAGTTGACATAAAATTGGGTTTAACTAGCTGACAGTTGCGTTTTTATAGCTCAAAGAGTTTAATAGCCTGACTTCAGGTCTTAAATGTTCATAAAAGTAAAACCTAAAAACTTGTTTTTAAAAAGGAAAACTGAAAATGCAAGACAACCTTTTTGAAAGGACTAAAATTTGACTATTTTTTAAGCAACTTTCTATTTTTAGAAGTGTAAATTATGATAGTGAATATATTTTAACACAGACTAACCAAATTAGACAATATTATTCTTACATGTTTTAGCCATTTAAGTTACACCCATACATCCCTCCAGCATCTCCATTAACAACTACGCAGTTCCGATTAGGCCCGCATAAACATTTAAACCTCCTCCCCCTGTACCTTTGGTTGGGAAATACCCCTCAGGAAAAGCAAGTTGAAGCTCTGTTTGTGTCATTTGGTCCACGAGAGATTTCCGCCCCACAGACACATACACAAATAGAGGCCGGGCCCACATATATATAGTACATGTTAGCCTATAACTGGCGATGCATGTGCACAAATATTATGGTTAATTATGTGGCACAGTTTTCCTACTGCCACACGCTAATTTTCCTACTCTAATTAACATTTTTCCTTGCATTTTCAATGCTTTAGTTTTTTTTGTTTTTTTGTTTTATGCAGCGAATGTGGTTTTTGCTGTCTTTAAGTTCGACCAACCGCAAAATCAAAACCACAAATGCAAATGCCAACTAAATTATGAGAAAATTAATTTCCACAGATGACAGCAACAACAACAACAAGGCCAGCAGAATTGCATAGTAAATTAAGTTAACTGCAAAAGGGGTTTTGGCTCAGGGGCGGCTGAATCTAATTAGTTGCTCAAAAGCTTTGCCTGCCAGCAGCCCAGCGTAGAAGGGTTTAGTGTAAGAGGTGGTTCACGGGTTGGGGCTGTGGATGGAGCTGGAGTAGAGCTGCACCACCATGGCCCATTGCACCACCGAGTGGGCTGATGGACTAGCTGGCAGATAGACGGAGACAGGCATTTGAGTTAAGTGAATCTGCATGTCATTCATGTCAGGACATTTAGTGCAGCAGGAAGCGTCGAGATGAAGCTGTTTCACTGAGGGAAAAGCCTCTACCTAAACTAATTAGGGAAGTGGATTAATATTAAGAACAAAAGGTGTAGTAATACTAACTTTTAGAGGGATTTAGAATAGTAGTTTGTTATAGAAAACTAGAATTATTACTCATTTAGGCAT